CCTTTAAAATATTTATAGTTGTTGATTTACCACGATGTCAGAGTATTTCCTTGCCCTTTAGCCTATCTCAATGCACTTTCCTACAGAATGGTAAGTATCTGGCATTTGAGATTCCTTGGTTAATAAAAGAGAATTTATGGCTAGCAGCTTGGGAATATACGTTGTAAATAAAGCAGCAGTTTTTTCCACCTGACTTACTTACAGAATTTTTGGAGCTATGTGGCGGCTTCTAAGACAGAACAGTCCAGACATGAAACCAGTAATTAATTACCATTTTTTCTGCAAAACACAATGGGCAACCTTCTGCCCCCTTACCCCAAGACCCTAATCACAGAGGATCGTGATTGGAGATAGCTCTTCTCCTGGCTTTCTGCACAGAAATAAATTTTACTCTGCCTGAACAACCTTGAAGGAAATATCTTTACTTGGAAGATTAATGAACACCTTCTGCTGAATCGCTTGCTCACAAAAGCCCCATCTCCCTGGTGTAGGAGCAGGATCTATGAGGAGGCAGCAGCAGACCTAGGAACAGCTGCAGCACTTAGCAAAGGCTTTCCTCAATCCCACAGCCAAAAGGGCCCTTGTCTGACTTCTTTAAAGACTTCCATCTCACTAGTGGTGCACCAGAGGATGGAGGGCTTGGGTTTGGTGAGACTGATGAAATTTTAGAAACTATGAGAAAGAGTATATGTAATCCACCACACGGCACATGTGGTTTTATGTGAAATCCTGGTCCAGGTCTCATCAAAACCACAGGTATGTATGTACGCATGTATTAGTTTTACAAACAGGGATTTTTTATGATGCAAATTTTTTCTTCAAAAATGTTCCTAACAAGATCAGATTGACATCATCTGTCTTCATGACTCCACAATTTCCGTTTAAAAATAAGATGCTCTGTTAAGAGTGGTATATGTGAAGTCTTTGTGGGTTTTGGGTGAGTTCACACCTTGTAGTTGGATTATTCTGGACCTCTGAGGACTGAGCTCTGATCAGAGTGAGTGACGGCACTCTCCCGCATGGATTCTCTAGTGCACAGTAATGTACCTCAGCAGCTTTCTTCTCCCTCAGTGTGCAACTAAACTGAGTTCTTTCTTTTCTATCCATCTGCTCGTTTTCACTTATTCAATACCTCTGAAGTTTTCTGTTTTGTATCGTATGTGATTAACAGTAACTGACAGATCCAAAATATACTGTGCAGGACCTAGAGAAAGTGATGACATCATCTCTAAGAAATCTGTCTGGAAAATAGAGCAAAATCAAAGCAATGCAACACTTGCAAAACGAGCGAAACCCTGGCACCATGACGGATCTCTGCTAGTGGCAATGAGAATTATCACTCCTTGTAGTTTTTCCTAGTAGTTATTAAGGAGATTTTGGTCAAACAATAATATTATCTTTTTTCAACAACGTAGAAGCAAAAATGAAATTCTTGCTTTGCAGCTGTCACAGAACTCATACAATGACAATCGATGAGAAGGACAGGCTGAGCTCTGCAGAAGAGCGTGGATCACATGCTAGACTGTGCCCACATTACGGAGGAGAATGTATGACACATCCACCAGTGGTGCTTGTATTTTAGGAAGCAGTGACTTGGAAGCAGATTTGAGCTGAACACGAGCTCAAAATGTGAAAGGAGCTAAGAAAACAGAGACAATCTTATATGTAAGTGGAGGGAAGTACTGAAGAGAAGAGATGATGTTATCATATGGTGGTTTATTGGTGAAAGTTTGTATTCAGCTCATCATCCATCTGCACATGAGCAACAATGCTAAAATGATAGGAGAGGTCCAGAAAAGAGTGATTATTAGCAACCTGGAAAATCTTCCTGATTCTGAGAGTAAAAAAGTTCAGTCTGTTTAAGATTTGGCAGCATAAAGATATTGCAACACATTAAGCTGGTGCAATACTTTGCAGAACAGTGTATGCTGGCTGCCCACAAGTATGTTCTTGACCTTGTGGAGAACACGAGGTTGCTTTGTCCTCAAGGAAAAGGGGGTTAGCTGCTTTATGTTCACCGTGGTTAAAAGTGAACACAGGAGCCGCTGCTGCAGAGTAGCTAGTGCACCACCTTCTTGTTGCGTGACAGTAATTTATCCTACCTTGCCACATTCTCAGTGAATTCAAAAGTAGGTTAAAGGGTGACCTGGGCAGGACACATAAGTAAAAACATGGGGAGCTGTCGTATTTTTGTGGTCCCTTTAAACTAACACAATACAGCAGCTAGAAGCTGAAGCTGGAAACACCGAGTCTGGAAATTAAAACCTGATTTTCTAGAGATGTTAGATCTATCAATTCCATTATTGAAGATTAAATTACACATGTTTCTAAAAGACCACATAGACGTTCTATCTTTGATACTGGGAATTCTTTGTCCAAGCAGTCACATCACACGAATAATGACATTTCCTTTCAAAAATCAATATGTTTGTAAGATCAAAAAGCTGAGCCTGCTTCCCTCTCTTTGCCATGTGATCCATACAGCCACCATACTGCCAGGAATGCAAACGGTAAGAAAGTCTGGACTGAAAATTGGTTTATAGATTATAGCCACGCTGACTTTAAATGATCCTTTATAAATTACAATTTTCTTATAAATGACCCCTTATCATTATGATTTAATGACAAAGAAAGGGAAGACACAGACAACTGCAAATAACACTGAAGTTAGGAAAGGTACGCTGGAGGCTGAGCCCTTACCTATCAGTGTTACAGCATCATACGAATTGATTGCATTATCATTCAGCTGAAATGTAAGCTTGTGAACACCTTGCCACTGCTGCAGACATGTCTATAAACAGGTTGTCCAGGGTATATGTTTGTAAGATATACACAATGCCTGTATGTTTGTTTTTTTTTTTGTGAAATATATATCAATGGATATTTCTTCTGGCCAATAACCTGCTTCCACTCTGCTTCACAGGATATTGCACTCATCATTCCCTGTTCCTTAACAGCTTCTGCTCTCGTTGACACCTTTAGAGAGTAAAAAAGGAGGAGATCATTCCTCTGTTCGCTTACAGCCCAAATCCTGTCCTGAATCCTTGCAGCACTTGCAGTGCTACGAAAGCCCACAGAAATGACCCTTCTTGTCATTTGCATCCACAGAGGAGTTGAGCTGCAGTGGCTGAAGAGAGGCAGAATTTGCCTGTGATTGTTATTTCACTGAGGAGCCTTAGGAAAGCATATCCTGTCCTATTTGCCACAGCTTTACTTCTTTTAAGGTAAAAATCACATTTTCAGAAACGAGGTATGTCTCTCGCATGCAGGATCACTTCGGGTTTTGCACACACACACATATACACAGATACATGGACGCAGGTTAAAGGACTTACAGAAAATTTGACCCAAAATCTGAGAGGAATCAACGTCCTGTCAAAATCTCAGTGCTGGAGCCTTAGACAGCCTTAGACAGCTTTCCAAGAGCAGGACCTTATGTATGAGGTTAATCGTGAGGATTCATTTTATTGAGGGATCAGAAACCCAGACCTGGCTCTCTGTAATACCCAAATCCCTTAATGCAGCCAGCAGCGCCCAGTGCTTCTGTTCTCTAAAGCTGGTACTCCCCGTTAAGTCCAGATACCTGTTCATTTCTCTTTCTTTGCAGGCCAGTTGCTAAAGGAAGGGTTTTGTGGCTGGAAGAAAGGCAATCTCACAGTTCAGAAAGAGAGGAGATAAAAATCTGGCCCCTTTGTAGTCAGTAGGACTTTTATCACCCGCTTCAGTTCTTTTATATATGCAAAGTTATATTTCTGTAATTTTTCTGTATATTTATTTACCAGATCTGTCCAAGCAGATGAAAATTAGAAACACTTCTGAGCTCTATTTTCACATGGAGATGAAAAGCTTTCCCAGAAAACAACATGACAAATTCCAGGCACATGTGTATTGTTCTCTAACAATTTATACGATGTAAATTCAAAGCTCTGATGCACTGACTCCTAAAAATGAGACAATTTTATGGACAACTTTAGACTGTTCCGAGACAAAATCCTACCTGGAACTCATTAGAATTTATGATACTCAAAACCTGAATCTGAATTTTGTTCTTGGGTCTGATTTTTATCAAGGCTCAGCAGAACACATGGCAATCCTACAGCTGATTCCATTTCTCCATCTCACTGTGAAGACAGGGAGAATGGAATGGAATGACTTCTGATGAAGAAGACAACGTGAACGCGATGTTCCTGGACCAGCCCCTTTTCTCTGTATTCCTTCAAATTGGTAGTGAAAGCTGACTAATCACATTAACATTTAAGGACATCATTTTATAACAATGGCTAGGAGATAGCTTTGTTCATACTATTCTGTAAAGTAATGACCTGAACAAAAAATGCACTTTGCAGGAATCTCGCATTTATCAAAGCAACAAGCATACACTAACCAGAGTGTGTAGAAATTACAGTGCAGTTTGTGGACATCTCATAAAATAGACCATAATTCCTGAATGGTTAAAACAACAACAAAAAAAAATCTGTTCAGAAGACTGGAGACAGGATAAGTACAGTCAGTTCCTTCTGCACCTGAATTTCTATGAGAACCTTCATATGTCTTGAGACATTTGCTTTCTGTCAACCTGTTCAGCTAGTCTATGTTATTACTGAAGCAATTATAGAATAGAATAGGATAGGATCATTAGAGTTGGAAAAGACCTCAAGGATCATCAAGTCCAACCGTCAACGCACACAATTTTGTAAATATTATGTAATAGGTGTTAAAGTACCTGTAGAACACAGACACTCTCTGGCTAAAAATTGCAAATGCTTATGGAAAAAAACTACGAGCTATTTATTTGACACACTGATATACCCATATCTCTCAGTGGTGTTGTGTCTGGAGAATGAGAGCTGATCAGATCAGATCAAAGTTTTAGTGCAATGGAATCATGGTTACAGAATATTGTACGGAAAATGGCTTTGCTGCTTCAGGTATGGTCACAAATACTCAGTAACAAGTCGAGTGTATAAGTGTATGTAAAAAAATAAGGACACTATCTACATTTACCTACTCTGATCCCAGTTGGCTGCAAAGAGCAGAAGAATCTTCCTGCCACAGTGGTCGCGATTTTCCAGTACTCCCGGGAACCCATCTGTCAGAGCCCGTTTGATTCCTGGGTCGTCAGCCTTGAAGTTTTTGAACATATCCAGATTTAACTGGCGGTACTGGAAGTACTGAGCCAGCAATCTGAAGGCCTCCATTTGGTGAAACTTTCTGGCTCGAAGAAATCTCAAGATGAAGGCATCATCTGTGCGTAAAAACCCAATGTCAGGCCTGGTGATGATCATGTCCCTGACTTGCTGGATGTCCTGATGTAAAATGTCTGGGTTCTCGTTCAGTTCCAGGCGGGCTTTCTCTATAGTCTCTGGACTAAGTCCAGCTTGCAAATGGGTCATCTCTGCAAAAACCTCTTTTCCAAATCCTTATCTTCAGATATTTCAGCAGAAGAAGTGCTGATCCCATTCAATTGATGGTCTGTTGTGAGCGTGAGCCATTCAGAAGCTTTTTGCTCTCAAGCTGGTATTGAACAGATGGAAGCGAAGGGCTTTTCTTATTCTTGCAGAAAGGGTGACAGGCAGTTCCCATGTAGTATAATCCATCCAAAGGAAAGTGTTGTTTATTTCATCACTAAAAGAAAAAGCAAATACACAAAAGAAAGATTAAATATGTACATAAAGCTTACAGGAATGCATTGCTGAACTTTATATAGTAATAAAATTGTTTTGTGTGCTTCATATGTAAGAAGATAGCAGTCAAATCATTCCAGAATGGGTTCACTTCATGTAAGGCAGCCCGTGATATCTTGAATGCATAGATGCAAGCTTTCAGAAGGGCAATCTGATTAATTGACAATTAATATTAAGCGGTGTCAGTTTACTATTAGAACACGCTTTGCAAAGTTGTCTTATAGAAGTGTGGGAGTTCCAGCATCCCATACCTTCAAGCCCGGGATGACAAAAGCAAAAATAACAGTAATTTTTTGCACGCCTAATAGGAACTCCATCTCAGCTTCCTCAGTACGCAGATTCACACTTGTCATAAGTATAACAACTGTTTGGTTTGGTTTTATTACCCATACTATCAGCCTGTAGCTTTCCTTGAATTAGCCCCTGAGCTGATTGTAAAACTGATTAGAAAAATCCCCAAACTCCACAAACATCAGGGGATTTTTTACTTGGTAAAATTTCACTAAAAAATCTTTCCGATTGAGACTTAATACATCTTCATGAGAAACTCCCCATGAATAAAGTGTTTGATGAATCCAATCTGACAGGGTTGATGTTTTAGTTGAAAGGAGGCGTGTTTTATTCCAAATTCCTCTTTTCAGTATCTTGTAGCTTTCCTGAATGCCTAGTTCTGATTTTCATTTTCATTCCTGTACTTCACCTAGAATTTGTTTTTTCAAGTGTTAGAAGGAAAGCTGCTTAAGCTGTTATGTATGAGCAAAACGGTACAGTGAATTGCTTACATTTCAGTGGCATAATTAGCAAGAGGCTGTCATCGAAGTCTGTGTAGTTACGCTTGTGTGAAATAAGATCAAGGTCTGTTCCGATGTGAAATGTGTGTGAAGAAAGATCAAGATCCATCCAATTTTTCAGCCGTCACAAAAACAGATAAGCAAACAAAAATCCCCACCACCTAACTGATCTCTCTCTCTCTAATTTCTGAAAAAGAAAAATTGGTTTTAAAAATTAAAAGCGAATCCCTCAGTGAGAGACATACTTTACTGTATTTGAAGAAAGCTGTTTAGAAAGTCATTAATTATTTATAAGAAAACAACCATTTCACTCAGTTCCTCCCCTGGGCTCAGTGTGCTCATACTGAACAAAGGGGACAGCAGCAGCCAGGGCATTTCTTCATCCAGGGGCTGCTCAAAGCTGCATTGCAGGACCTGGAATCAATCAGCGCGAGGGCTCTCTGAGTTCCCGGCTTTGTGAGCTTGCACGTCATTGATAAAAACTCCATTGAGATGCCACAGCTACAGCCCTGAGATGAGATCCCTGAACCTGAACACAGAGAATTTCTGCATATTTGCTTAAAGGACATTTGTGGTGGGAGAAAAGCTTTTTATTCAACAGCAATGTGCACTAGAGTTGTCTGTGGGTGATCCAAAGGAGGGTTTGTTAAGCAGCCTCCTTCTGTATTCATTGTGGAACTGGAGTTAAGACAGCTACCTGCAGGGCAGAGTATCCTGTGATTCATCATCCTGGGAAAACCTGGGAAAAGGCAAAGCTGGGAGGAAAGAAGACTGTCTGCCTTTAAGAAGTCACTACATAGTGCAAACAAATGCAGAAAAACAAGCCCTGAACTTTTGAGGGGTGGTCTATGGGTGCAGGTTATTCAATTTTTAGAGAAGTGTGTGCTTTGTTAAAGGTGGATGGCACACAAAAAAATAAAGAAACAGTCATTTGCTTTCCTCTTGTCTTTATGAGACCAAATTAGGATAACCCTGGTGGTATCAACTGAATTCCACTGACGTAGGCCATGGGAAAATCAGGCTAATATTTTGTGCTTAAGATCTCAAATTAATGGTGACATTAGCATTTTCTTGCATAAATCATGGGTTTGATTACAATTGCTTTCATTAAGTAGTTAAGGGAGCTCCATGTGTTTAAGGGTGACACTGTCACTAGGGGACTGTAGTGTAAGGATTGGGGTTTTTTCCCTGGTTTTAACAGCAAGTCATGCCCTAAGGGGGCTGGTTGTGCTCGAGGGTGTTTGGCAGAGGGATGGAAGCAAGGACCTTGTTTGGGGTCTGTGCTCGCTCTGGCTCAGGGCTCAGTATGAATTTGAACACTTTGAAGCTCTTGTAACTTAGAATTACAGAATCATAGAATCACAGAATGTTTTGGGTTGGAAGGGACCTTAAAGATCATCCAGTTCCAACCCCCCTGCCATGGGCAGGGACACCTCCCACTAGCCCAGGTTGCCCAAAGCCTCATCCAGCCTGGCCTTGAACCCCTCCAGGGATGGGGCATCCACAGCTTCTCTGGGCAACCTGGGCCACTGCCTCACCCCCCGCACAGTAAAGAATATATTTTTTACATCCAATCTAAATCTATCCTCTTTCAGTCTAAAACCTTTAGCCCTTGTCCTATCACTATAGGCCCTGGTAAAAAGTCTGTCCCCATCTCTCTTATAAGCCCCCTTTAAGCACTAGAAAGCCACAAGAAGGTCTCCCTGGAGCCTTCTCTTCTCCAGGCTGGACAACCCCAACTCTCTCATCCTTTCTTTATGGGAGCAGTGTTCCAGGTGTTCTGGTCATTTCTGCGGCCCTCCTCTGGACCCACTCTAACACTTCCAAGGATTTGTGGCAGTTAACCGTGACCCCAGTGGTTTCATCCATTTTCTGAGAGTTTAGGGCAGTAAACTGTCCCTTCCTCTGCTCATTTCCTGACTCCCATCAGGAGTCCCAAAATGCTTCTTTGGAAATAAGGCAAATTCTTTAAAGGTCAGATGCAGTCTACTCTAGAAGAAAATAGGGTTACATGAAGAGGACCAAGCCTGGCCCTTCAGATTTTCTTATAGGATCCCCAAGTATTTAGTGTCAAAAATTGTGCTACTTACTGTCATTAAAGTTTACACTGTTTTTACCTTATTTAAAAGGATTAGCACCCATCATGCCCAGGATGATCCCAAGGTGAGGGAGGTACAACCCTCTCCTGTCAAACGTTGTCAAAAAGCAACTTACAGATACTCAGTTTAACAAAAGATACACTTCTGAATGCATTTCAGAGTTTTCTGATACAGCCATGGGTTTTACAGCTTACAGGAGAGCCTCTAAAAGTTATCCTGATTATCAGACAGAAAAGACTTTGCACTAAAATATTTATTGGTGTAACGTTATATATGGCAAAATAATCCAAAACATGTATGAACAATGCTGTCCCTATCTGAGTCCTAACACAATCCACTCTAGCACCATTGACTTCAAGGAGTCGGATCTATATCAGTGGATGATTCGAATCTCCCACTGCTTACCTTGACAATAAATTTAATGCTGCATAGCTACCCAGTTTAACTGTCATTGTGCTTTCTCAAATGGTCCTGATTTATTCTGATTCCCAAAGGTATAACAGAAGCACCTTCTCCATTTTCACCTCCTCCCTCACACGGCAATTTCTCCTTTTCTTCTGGTGGTGTGTACAGCTCTGATCCATCTGCAAATTCCTCAGATGTTTACATCTTTGTTTTGCATTTTTTTTTTTCACAAATGAAGATGCTTGCCCTTTTTTCCCCTATCTTGAATGTTGTTGCTGCTTGTTGGCACTCTAGACTCTTTGTTATAGTCCCAACAGCTGTTTTTCTGTGTTGTGACTCTTTATTCCCAAAGGACTATTTGCTCTCCTAATGTCTTTTCACAGCCACTTACAATAAATCATCCCTTCAAAGGAACACAACCCAGCTCTAAACAAGGAAAAATAATTAACAGAGATTTGAAATACAACATATTATTACAGATGAAAAAGGGAATTTTCCAACAAAATTGTGGTGTCAAATACCATTCGTTTTCATTCCCAACAAGAGAACGACAAGGGACAGAGAGCGGCTTTAGGATGGGTAAAATACTGAAAGTGGGATACAGCCTTCAGACAAACAGCTTGTATTTTTGCCTTACTCTCCAAAATAAAATGCAGTTAATAATAACATGAATAGTAATAGCAATACTTCAGTAAAATGAAAATAATATCTTAAAGCAATATATATAGCAATTTCCATACAAAGACCCTAATACATTTTTACTGCTTTCTCAGCTTCTAGATCAGCATTCAACCCCTGTTTGCTCTACGTCCCCTGAAAAATTGTCCCAAACCTGCTCTCAGTGATTACGACATTTATCTGGATTGTGTTGCTCCTGCCTGCTTGGCTGTCCTTGCAACACCCTTTGCCCCTTGAAGCACTGTCCTTGTGGCTTGGACTCTTCCCTGTCCACTTCAGTTCAGACAGATTTTTGTTGTCTCTCTCCACTGAGTGTTTTCCGTTCAGTGCAAAGCTATATGCCAGCTGAAACTTCATTACCACAACTTTCAAACCGGGAAGGCACTAGGGTTTGATCCTCACCAGGTGTGAACAGACATCACGGTTATTATTTGTCTCATGTCATTCCTAACTCCTAGCATTCATACAGATATTAGCTGCTAAAGTCATGCCAGAAAAGAAGGGAGTGGGTAGAGAGGCAGGGAAAATCGTAATCTAGAATGATTTCATCTCAGAGTGTGGGTGTCACCTTATTAAATTGCTTTTTAAAAAATATTTTTATGTTAACTCTGGAAAACATCTTGGGGCTATATTCTGCATAGCAGGGATTGCTACATAAGGGCAGGGGAGGATAAATCTGTGGTTGTAGTTACAGGAATGGCTCCTATGGCACTTTGTGACCTTGTGGTACCTTTAG